AGTTAATGCCTAAGGAAATTAAAAAGCTCAGACACATGCTTATCCGGTTGATATTGCAAAGCCGACTGGCTGCATAGGGCCCAAATACGAAGCTACTTTATTCTGAGACGCCAATGAGACCGCTGTGCTTCCAGTGTTTTTCCCCTCTCTGAAGAACACAATTGTTGCTGCAGAGAATAAGAAGTTCGACCTCCTTGGCTTACAAGGTCAATGCTGCTACTGGAAATTTGAAGTGCAGCTGATGCATTCACAGACACCAAAGCCAGACCGTTTCAGAATAATTCAAGTTATTTGATTGGCCCGATTGTGAAAAATTGGCGGCCTCGGTGAGAGTCGAACCCACACAGCAGGGAAGGCTTTGTTGCGTAGCGAACGCTCTATCATTGAGCTACGATGCTCACCGTGCACCGTGAATTTAAGCACACTCGGGTCGATTATACCCGCCCAACTTTACTGCACGTATGGAATCCACCAATAGGGACGTAGTAAGCTGACTGTCAGGCCAGATTTCAAAAGTAATCATATAGAATCTACCGGATGGACTACTAGGCTAACCTTGGTTGTTAGGAGTTTGGCAGATTTCAAGTTATCATTCGGGGAAGGGCATATAAAAGTATTTTAAGGAGCTTTGCAAGACCCGGATAAGAAATTCTCCGGCGGAAGGGAAAACTTCAGAATGCAAAACCCATATAAGTGTGGGTGCATAGGATAGGAAAATTGGTGACACTACAGGGAGGATTTATGTTTCTCAAAAGAAATTAGAAGAAAAGTTGAGATTGACTGACTGACTCACAATGAAAGGCCATAGGTTCATGAGGAAAATCTGGTCCCAGCTGATGACAAGGAAACTGTACTTCACTTGATAGCCTCGAGCGCTGTGGTCCTTGATGAAGAAGGCGTAACTAATAACGTGTCCGTTCACATCATCACCAAAGTACACTGGTCCCTCGCGGCCCGGTAACACCTAAACGATGGAAGAAGAATCAATGACAACCACCACCACCACAAGAATTCACTTAGAATATATGAAGTGTTTAGATGTAAAAAGGCTTGTGGGCATTGGGGGAAGAGAAGATGAAACAGCAGGGATTTCCCTGAACAACACCATTACAGGCTTTCCTGCAGCCAGAGGCATCGGCTCAAACGACCTTGTCGCAGGTTATACAGGGGACTCGGAAGATAAATCATACGTAAACAGTATGCCTAATACTGCATAAGCATAGTAAGAAGGAAATATGAAAGTTGGCATTTAACGAGTTTTATGAGGTTGGTTGATGGGGGTCATATGTGCGCTCAATAGAACTGCACCCATGAGTACGTGCAAGAGAGGAGTTGAGGCGGCACATAAAGACGGATCGCGTTAACCGATGCAGTCATTGTGGTTTCAGTACCAGGAACAAACTCGCCCCCTAGACGGACCGCGTAATAGATGCGCAGGACCAACACAAGAGCTAGAGAAGGGCATGGCAGGCATTATTCAGCTTGCAATCTTATAACAAATGTCAAAAAGGGTCAAAAGAGGGGCATCGGTTAATCGCTACCGTTTGCACTTTAAAGTTAACATTCGGGCCAGTAGTAAAAATGACTTGGTCTGACAAAGCGAAGGCGTCATCGACACAACGAGCCTGGAACTTTAAATGATAGTAGGTGAGCATCAAAAGTTCCATCTGCCTGATAACCATTTCCACGAGCAGGCTTGAAAGGAGCGCCACCGGTATGATCGTGCTTTTTTTCCCAAACGAGTCAATCAAGTAAACTAGGTCTTAGGGCATTCCACAGAAGTTCGACGGAACATTTGAACTTCAATGACGAGGTTATGAGACCAAACAGTTTTCTTAACTTTAAAAAGAAATTAAAATGGGACAATGAACTCTATGGGGGCGGTGTCGTCTGGATTTCAAGTGGTTGTCAACTGTAAGTGGATGGGTTTGGGAGCGATTATAAACAAGGTCACATGCGTTAACAATGGACAGCCGAGCAAACTCCCTAAAATAGCAGTAATTGCATACAGTAGTTCCGTGGAACAATTCGCCGTCCCCAAGTCATCACTCTTGAATGCCCAAAATTGCCAAAAAATGATAAAAAACAGTACTTGTACTCGGTGCGGCTGTGACCATGCCTGATCTAGCCGGCCTCAATGATGTCACGAACGGTCCCTCTCCATGCGTGGCGATTGGCGGCAGCGGATCTGGAACGTTACTTGTACTTCTTACGGCTGTGATCATGCCTTATCTAGCCGGCCTCAATGATAGAACGGTACCTCTCCATGCGTGGCGATTGGCGGCAGCGGATCTGGAAAGCTCAACAGGCATAAACAAGAGGGTTGATTCACTCACTTCGCAGGACAAGCTTCGCATACAGGCACTCCGCACTATGGACGCAATAGCGGGGTCGACAGGAAACTGTGTGGAGACGTAGGCGGTCTTGGCGGTAAAGTCCTGACTGACGAAGCCAATCTCCTCACGTGTTACAAATGAGCAGGCCCTGCAAGTGCCCGAGTGTTGATTGGAAAGGTTCGACTCCTGTACAGCACCGCTCGACTGTGTGGCCGAGACGCTGGAGGCAATATATTCGTCTGAAATTCCAAGACGGTGTTTAAAGGTATTAGCGAGGATTTTTAGCAGTTTACCATTAAATCTTTAAAAAATAAAACAATTCGGTAGTACATGTGTCGTGGAAGCTATCGTGGCATGACATTTACAAAGAAAGAAAGGGGGAGAGAAATGAGGTGTCTGTCGATGGAGCTCTCGTCTAATAAAATTCTTCAGCATTGCTAGTGCCCTGCAACATTTACATGCAGGATGAAAGAAAAGTCGTGCAACTTTCAGTGTACAGTGGAGCCTCGGGTGACGAAAAGCCCCATCTAGGAGCATTCAGGTAACGAGCGAACCACTCGATTGACGAGCCTCCGCCCAGTTAACGAGCTGTCAGTGCGTATGTGTGTCTGTATCCGCCGTTGAGTCTTGCTCCCAGGGTGTGGGTTGCCTGCAGCCACTCAATAAACTGATGCAGTTTGGTCGATTACGTTTCGCAAGACGAGCGTTGCGGATGGCGGGCTCGGTCCTGGAATGGATTAAACTCGTTGGTCGGGGTTCCATTGTAAAGAAAATGCTTCAACCTTGACAACTTCTGACAAGCACGTTTTAGTATAGCCACAATACCATCTTCTCTCAGGTCAACCACGGCGATTCCCTTCCAACAATCACCGCGACCGGCACATTTCGGCCATTTGTTTCGGAGATAATCCGCCTACTAGTGCTTATTTTATGCTCTGTTAGTCTTCTTCATAGTAAAATAACGTCTTATTATCAGGTAGAAGTCGAGAGAGTCCTTATAAAAATCCAGGGAAAAATGTCCCTGTGAAATCGACGTCAGACCATATACTGTGATTGGACAGAGAACGCGGGACTCGTTATGTGAATTCCTTGCCGAGAAAAAGATGGCCACATAGCTTTATCCGAGGGGTAAACAATGTCAGCAGATACTGGCACAGTCAACAGACAATTATCCGTTTCCACCATCAGTTCTGTTGCAACGGCAACCACGTTCTGATTATCAGCGTACCGTGCACTGAAAGCTGAGTGCGCTCTTGATCCGTTAGGCACAGGTATGCGCACTAACCAAGCTGTTAACCAAGCTGTCATACATGGAGTACCCGATGTTTCAATGTGAGTCACCAAGGGAACAGTTGATGTTCTCAGGCGCGGAAGCTCAGCTATTTGCCAGTGTCTTGCGCGGCATACCGAAATGGAGTTGGCCACAGGCCACAATACACAAACAACACAAAGCGGCAAAGTCAACTAGTGATGCAAAGACCGAACAGCTAGATCGGGTGTCCCTCGGCCAGGGCGTCTGTACCGTCAAAATAGCCAGTCTTGGGTTTATAAAAACCACCAAATACAGTTGCCGATAAATTCGCCAGCTCTTTCAGACATTCGAGAGAGTTTTAACCACAATAAAAATCATAGAAAAGAATCCGCCCCAAGATAACACTCTCATAGACCCGATGGTGACGCGATTTTTTGTCCGCCCGTAGCTGAAACGAAGCAGACGATCTACTAAAACACAGTTCAAAGGTTCGCCTATGACGCGAACATATATTTTTCGTGTATTTCACCAAACACGAAGGAAGCACACAACTGTGTTAACACTCCGCGCACTTTCGCTGGTTATCGCCGGTCACAAGGTTAGTACATTGCAAATAACCCCATCGTATAGTCCTCCTCTATGACTAGTTTTCTCCAACACAAACTGGTGAGAATAGTAGACCAGGAGACGGACTAGTGCCCTGAATAGCACCACAAATGGTAGGACTGTCTTTAGAGGTCCTATTTGCCTTTGACGTATAATAATAAATTACTTTTATATTTTCAGTAGACCGACTATCCATTTTTTTCGTTAAAGTCCGCCGATGCAAGGTCAAATTTCCACCAATAGTCATCAGCTGATTTCTTGCCCGCGCGCGGTTTGAAATTTTTAAGCAGAGGCGTGTCAAA